GTGTGTGTGTGTGTGTGTGTGTGTGTGTGTGTGTGTGTGTGTGTGTGCGCGTGCGTGCGTGCGTGCGTGTATTTCCGCGCTCACAGACCTTTTCAGCCTGTTTGCCAGTGATCTAGGTGGACATGCAGCCAGGGAAGATATAGAAGCAGTTCTGCAGGTCCTGGATGGAGAAGTCCCGACCTCCCTGAAGAAGTGCTTCAGTGAGGTCAGCAAACACCTCAGGCTGCCTGTCACCACATGGATATACATATGAACATCTACAACCATCCTAGTCATAACTTGCATATCACCTTTGTTATCTGCTTGGCTCATATCTTTTAGTTTGTTTTTATCAGTACAGTCACATGGTCATAAAGGTTACGTTTGCCACATGGAGCCAATTCCACAGGTATGATACAAAGTCTGACAGTACAGTGAGTTATTCTACAGGTTGTTTGAGTACAAATCATGATCTACCACAAATAGCCTCGGTAAGTACAACACAGTAAAACAAAAAAGATCCACACTGTTCGATAACATTAATATCAGGGATATCCAGATCAACTTTTATAGGAACCCTGATCCGGGGACACGCTGATACTGAGTCGATCTTAGCTTTTTCGGCCGTTGCCTTCTTGGTTTTTTGGAACCAGAAGGGTGGAGATAAGAACAACTGAACACTGAATAATACATATTTAGGTTATCAAAATGTTACAATTAACTTTCATGAACTGAAAACAAACTGTGAAAGGGTTGAATTTGTAAGATGAAAAACACGTTGCAGACAAGACAACACTGTGGTCATGACCTGTCAATCACAAGATAGCCACACCCTAAAGCATTGTATGTTCTATTTGACTCTAAATGGACCATAATGTACTCAATGAACATCATGCTGTGTTGAAGAAGACTTGAAACTAGAGATTGAGACCATAAACTCATGTTTACAATGTTTACTGAGGTAATAAATCAAGAGAGAAGTAGAGTCATTTTCTCATAGACTTCTATACAACCAGAGGAGTCGCCCCCTGGTGGACACTAGAGAGAATGCAGCTTTAAGGCACAGTGTAGCACTCTAAATTTGACCCAATTGGGAGAATACCACTGCTGAGACTGACATTACACAATGAGCTAGAGAGAAGACAAATGTCTCAGTTGGACATGCCTGAACTACAAATACATTTAGTCCACTCTTGGTTGTTCAGTGGTGTAACAAAGTCAACGGACTACAGATGGTGGTTTACAGTGAGAACTTTAACCAGACAATCAAGTTTAATTTCGAGATTATCATTAATTAGTGACAGCTGATATGACTTCCTACTGTCGACGAAAGCATCTGTCAGTGTCCGTTACAAATGAGATACCAATCCGTGGAAATATTCCAGAATCGGCCCCAGTACTGGTTATGGACATTCCTTATTAATATGTTATGTTAGATGCATTCTCTCCATTTTGCCGTCAACTCGGAGTGTTCTTCTGTTGGTTAATTTCCACATTTCCAGTGTATTTTACATCCCTTGTCCATTGTGGATAGCTTTGATTACATTTTGCCTGCTTTTGAGATGTCCGCCTCTAAAATTTTTTGGTTTTTGCTTACAGTCTAATACAATTCATGTGCATGGAACTTTGATTGTGATGTATGCAGCATTTAAAGTATTCAAAAATTTGTCAGAACTTTACAAATAATTGAAAACAAGGTAATTAGGGGGTCATATCTAATCTAATACAGGGTATTACTGGTTCTATCAAAACCAACTGGTACTGTAAGGTGTTTCCAAGTCAGAGCTCACTGTATTTAAAGTTGAATTCAGACAGTAATTTGTATTGGAAACTGAGTGAATATGAAAAATAAGGGGACACAGAGTCCCGACACATGCGGAACATCTTCTGCTTTTGACCCGCTTAACGTGTGTGTGTGTGTGTGTGTGTGTGTGTGTGTGTGTGTGTGTGTGTGCTGTGACAGGGCGACAAGGTGAACTATGAGCGCTTCAGGAACTGGCTGCTACAGAACAAGGAGGCCTTCACTTTATCCAGATGGCTTCTGTCTGGAGGAGTGTGTGTTACGCTCACAGACGACAGCGACACGCCTACCTTCTACCAGACACTGGCTGGCGTCACACACTGTGAGTCCCGAAAACACTCGACACAATCAATGTGTCTGCATACACAGAGGCAGATGTGTTTACTTGTTGACAGCAGCTCAACACCAATGAAAAAGAAAGAAGCAGCGTTGGAATGAATTTGTGAATGGGAACGGTAACTTGTGCTACTCATCTGAGTATGACATGACTACATTGTCTTACTAGTGGAATCAATGCTGTGGAAGTATACATTGTGCTGAATTCACCATGTGAGACATTATTGTACAGGTATACCAAGCTTTTATTGGTGACGTACCTGAGACATGATCATAAAACATAACATAATAATGGGGCTTATGCCCTTGGAACTGCTGGAATGGAAACAGTACTTCTGTTAAATTGATGAACTAAGATGAGCAGAGTAGGACACGACTGTCCTTGTACTGGTAGAATTAGTTATGGCAGGTAAACAGGTAAACAACAGCTGGTAAACATGGAGGAAATGTTGAGAATTGATCAAATTGGAGCAGATCATAAGTCAGGTGTTGTAACATGTTATTAAAAACAGTGAGGAATAAAGACATGTTTCTAATATAAGCCTGTTTTAGCTTGTCTGATTTGAGTTTATTTGCTAGGACTCAGAAGTACTTTCACTTGGCTTTGGCCTCATCAGTGGCAGCTCAGGAAATGACTGTCAAGCTCAACGTATCACCCCGATTCATCCGCTGTCCTCCTTTCACTCAAATATCCCTTTTTCATTAATCCTTCTCTCCTTCACCAAACCAGGTGTCTCTCCTCCCTCCGTTTCCTCTCTGACACCCTCTGCACTGCACCTTGCAGACTGCACTAGTCAATGTGTTTGTAGATGCTTGAGAGCTGTTACATCTGTATTTCTTTTATTTGAAGACAGCTTCACCTGCCACAGTTGACTCTCAGTAACCTTTTGAGTGGCTGGTGTTATTCTTGCCTAATGTTGGTGTAACCGGTGGTAACATGGATGGTATTCAGCTGCTCAAGTTATTCAGGGGTCAACTGCAGATCAAGTGTAAATATACAGTTCAAAGTTTGGGGTCACCTGTGATGTAATGACTATTTCAACAGAGACCAAAAAAAGTACAATTCAGACTATTATTTTCATTTGAAACAGTTTTGGCCCAAAAAGAATAATTAAAAGGTTCAAACCCACGTCCACGTCCAAACAGTGTTACATGTCAGGGAGAATACTCGTAACCATTTTTTGTCTAAGCATACGTGACCCTCGATCATTACTGAACCCAACGGTGCATTTGGGCTCTAAATATTTTGGGTAGCCGTTTTTTCTTTGGGCCCTCCGCCCAAAAGGTTCCATTGAAGAGGTTCAAACTGTGATTTGTCCGCCCATAGTGTGTTCAGCTGATCTTCCAACAGTGCTAACCCTACACCAACCTTCTAATTGTATTGTGATGTTTTAAGAATAGCTTTGCTTAAGAGACACACCTGATAATATTGCAGCTTATTGGCTGTATTATTATTATTATTGTGCACGTGACACTGAAACAGGAAGCTGTTCCTATTTAAAGCCGCATACATTTTGATGCTAAGCTTCCAGTTAGTTTCTTTCACCAATGACCGATTTCTTCTATTCTTCTAGTCTTATTCAACTGTTGCTCAGAGGGATCTTTATCTCTTTCACAATTGTCAGGCTCATTGAACCATTGTCTAGCATTTTGTTCTCCATGTACAAAACAAGACCTTTTTTGTAAACCCTTTTTATATCATATATTTGTAAAGAGGACAACAACCTCGAAGCATGAAAGACAATTCAGAACTATAGAGCAGTCCTCTCAGCCAACTGACTGTAAGGAAACAAGCTTTTGTGGCAGGTGACCACAAACCTTTGAGTGGCAGCAGTCTATATTTTTATGGTTGTTTCTTTGCTTTATTAAAATGACCTCAGAAAATGAAGTCATGCCAAGTGAATCAGAACGGGCGTAAATTCCACTCAAACATTTTGCCTTTATTTTTATTGACCTTCTTGTTCATGGAAATACTGAATTTGATTTGTATTTGTCAGTATATAGTGAATTAGCTGGCAGAGTTCTCTCTCAAAACAACTGATGGCTGTTTGCTGGTCTTATAGACCCCAACAGGACAGAACATGACCAGAACATGACTCTAGTGGGGAAATTACTGGACATAAGGAGGTAAATGTGGCACCTGTGGACTCGAGGCGCGGTTGTTAGACTGTGCTTCACAACCTGTTTTGCAGTTGTTCCTTCCTGTTGTTGGTGTGACTGTGGTATGTTGGCAAGATACATATATTTGCAAGTCCAAGAGAAGTTGTGTTGTTGTATATGTCAACATTTAGCCTCCGTCCTTGTAAGACCATTTACTGTAGAAATTCATTTATTTCCAGTGCTATACATATTTTTAGGACAGTGCATGGAAAATAAAAACAATCGACAGTGACTATGTTTACGTGCACCAAATATCCAGTTTTTTGCCCTTATTACGAAACAGACAATATTCCTAATAAGCTGTTTTCATGCTTAATGAAAATTAATTTTCCACTAAAATCCTGTTTACATGCAGCCGTGCATATTCATTCTCGGCTGTGTTTTTTCGGGTCGATGCCCTAACGTGTCGTTTATTAGGTCAAACTATGGAAAAGTGAAACGTCAGGATCTGCATGTGCCATTTAGCTACTTTACATCAAAATATGTTTTTTCAAAGTTTTCCCCCGGTGGCGGAATTGTTGGCCCGTGTGAACATAGCCTCCTACTTTCATTACTTCAAGCACCTTCTTCAAAAAGGTCGGCATGGCGATATTTAGATTTCATTGATATTCAAGTCCTTCATGATGCTTAAAAGTGTGTGTTTTTCTGTTTCCGATCAGAAATAGGGGCTGTCATATTCGGAATAATAGTAGAATGCGAGTGTGCATGTAAACATTGACAGTAATGCAGTTTTTAAAAGTTGTCGGACAAGTAAATTTAGCCAGGCTTTATTTTGCCAATTAAGGACAGAGGGCTGGAAAAAAGCTGGACGCTGCCTTTAATCTGCCTGCTACCAGTTTATCCTCTTAACTTAGTGTCTGTGTCTGTGTGTGTTGGGGAGAGAGAGTGGCCGACACAAACCTGGTTCTTAACTCTTGCCAGAACCAGAACGCGAAGCTTGACTCATGACAGAGCTCGAATCCTTTGCTAGCGGACACCGTCACAGTGTTATGAGCGTAGAAATCTGTGGGAATAACGGCCATGAGGACAGGATGACGTAGTTTCTGTGAGCCGCTATCACGGGGAGTTTGCTATGGTACATGCTGGCTGTGGCAGCACCTCTCTAAGGATGTTCCCTGGATAATGGTATGGTATCTCTGCTGTCACTCGGGGAGAGTCGCACCTCTAGGTGGGTATCAGTCCAGACGAGGCCCCTGCCATAGAGACGGCAGCAGTAAAGTGACTGTTCTTCAGTGTAGAGACCTTGTGACTGATGTTCATGCTCTCCTCTGGAACAGCCATTATTGGAAGGCTTTGTTTGAACTATGTTTGGTTGTTCACCCTTTTGATTCACATTGACAGATAAGGGCACTTTCTCTGGTTAGTTTTGTCATTTGTTTACAGAGAAATGAATAGAAATGTATATTTGTCGTTGTTGTGAATAGGGCTGGATATCAAACCTCCAGAACTTTCATGGTAACAACCAAGATGTGTTCGTAGAACCTAAGATTGAAAACAGTCAAGTACCAAAAGGTTGCGTCTGTTGTGAATTGTTTTGGTTGCATAACATTATTAATATGGTTCATGTTGCTTGTGTAACACTGTTTATGTTGTTAAGCTGTAGATGTGAGAAGCTTAATTGACCTGATTTACTTTTATTGTGAATAGCATGAAACAGGAAGTGCTTTTACTTTGAAGTGGGAGAAGTAGCACGGTACGTGCTTATTGATGCTAACAACAATGATGATGCTAAGTCAAAAATCATATGTCGCGGTCTGTTAACTGTAACAGTTGTAATACTGCAGTTTCAGGAAGTAAAGTGTTCCGTTCAAAACCAGACGTGTCTTGGTCGTCATTAGAAGCTTCACTTTACAACAGCGTCACATGCCCTTTACGCTCATTTAACACTAATGCAGTTAAGGTAGTTAAGCATTTGCCAGAGTAAACTGCCACACTCTAATTCTGCCACCTTTACAAAGCTTTGAAATCCAGCTCTACACTGATGTAACCTCCAGCTCTACACTGATGTAACCTCCAGCTCTACACTGATGTAACCTCCAGCTCTACACTGATGTAACCTCCAGCTCTACACTGATATTAGTAGAAACTAAGAAAGATGGGAGATGTGCACGAGGCGATCCATAGTCCGGGTAATGACTTTTCTAGATTAGGAGTCAGACGGTAGCACAGCTGTCATGAGGAATGCTCAGCATGACCAACACAAGTACCTATTTTCCTCCTTGTCTACCAGGACTAATCACTGATGTATTAAATGAAGCTGCTATTCAGAGCTTGATTCTTCTGCTTTTTAGTCTTGCGTGGGTGAGCGTGTGCGTGTTTTATGATTATTGCCTCAGACATGTTCTTCCCTGTTTTTGTTGAGTTAGCTGCACTTTCCAATTCAGCTTTGAGATGGAAAGGTAGTCATGATTGTCAAGCGCTCGGTCCATGCCTTAGTCCATATAGTCCTCAATCATTTATCAGTCTCATATTATTGCCTCCATTCCATTTCCATATAGTCCCCTTCACATTGTAAATCACTGATTTGGTACTCAGTGCTCCCCTTAATCTGTTAGATTGAAACGTCTGCGTCAGAAAGCAGACTTGAGCCGTGGCGGTAAAAAGGCCAACTACAGCTGCCCTGATGTTCACCTCTGGACAACAGGGAGTCAGAACCTGGATAAGAGAGGAACACCCCTCACAGACGGTCCATTTTCCCCGTGTGCTGCTTCACCAGCAGCCGACCACGACGGTCATCCTCCCATCTGACTGGAACTGTGACCAACAGCAGCTTGAAAACAAGCTTTCAGGAAATCGTTAAATTGCCTGCCTGAGAAGCCACGGTCTGATATCTGCCGGGAATTGATTGCCATTTGATTTCTGTCTCTATGAATTGACACCTGTCATATGTTTTGGCTCTGTGCCAAAAGCTAGCTGACTAGCTGCTGAATCCTATTACCTTAAGCTGTGGATTAGCATGTTGAAAGAGGGAGGCTGGTTCATTGACCCTGGCAGAGCCGCATATGCTATATTGGTCTGATCTGTGTCAAATACTCTTCCACCCATTGGTTACATAACCCCAGCTAGGGTTTGCCCTGGCATCATGACCACTATCACGTCAAATGTGCTCCTCACCTTGTCACAACTTGTAAGTGCTCTCATTCGCAGCAGCATAACTGGGTTTCTTGATTTGTAACTATTGCATCATGTAACTTGTTGTTGATTCATTGTCTGTCAAAGGATTGAATGATTCATTTTCTAATCCTTTTAGTACCAGTTTCCATCAAGTATGTTTGTAAAGGTTTATTAGAATCCCAGTGTGTTTGGACTTGTCTCGGTCTGCTGTTCTGCTGTGGAAGCCAACTTAGTTTGACTTCTTTTTCAGTTTTAGTCTGACCCTTGAATTTGATAAAGTACAGGTTTTTGCTTTTATCCGGCTACACAGTTGTCATGGGGAGGTTTTTTCACACACAATCATATAAAAAAAACATTAAACCATTTACATACATATAGTATAGCCAAGGAATCAGGATTGTCCATTATGAGATAGCTAGCTGTGTTTACCAGGTTTCTCTGCATCCCTTACTCTGTTAAAGAAGCTAGGCTGCTCTTTACATGATGTAAAAGAGCAGGAGGTGAATACAAGAACAGGACTCTGTCCATTCATAAACTTTGAAACAAATGGTTAATAATAATGAACGTAATTAAATGAATTAATCGGGGGTTTAACGGTTCTAAGACTGAAACTGCGACACATACGTCCACGGTATCTCATTGCTGTTTTATCTTCTGTGGCGCGCCC